CCCCCCCCCCCCCCCCCCCCCACTCATTATACTAAAGTGACTACAAATACTAATTTTAGAATTTCTTCTGATTCAATTCATATATTCTATACAGATATTATATACAGGTTAACAAATATTTTGATGGCCTTATGTGGTAGAGATAACTGATATAGACAAGCTCAGATTGACTCCATTTTAGCAATGGATATTGAGTGCATATTGGCTTATAATTTTGGTGATTCATCTGTTTTAGTCACATGGCTTTTTACAGCTCATTCATCATATTTATGATCATCAGTGGGGCAAAGTAAAGGTGAATTATTAAAAAAAAACAAAAAAAAAAAACATTGCACACTGGATTTGATCTTTACCAGGTCCCAGAAAACATTTAGCAGATCTGAAGTAAGCACAGACCCTACCCAATCTAACGTTCACAGACACTTATTTGTTTGTATTTATACATTCTATCTAGGAATATATAAATGTATAATGTATTTATATATTCCTCTATCCAACTCTGTATGTCTGTGCTTTCTGTATGCAGGAGCTATATATGAAAATATATTTAAAAATATATAGAATTGTCCTGTCCATGAATGTTTTATTTGGTAGGGTCCATGCTAACTTGAGATCTGTAAAAATGTGTTCTGGGACCTGGGTATGGATCTAATCTAATAATTTTTTTTCTTGGTATCACTGTGTTTTTGTATTTACCACCATAACTTCTCTCTGCTGGTGATCATAAATAAGGAGGATGAGCAGAAAAAGTCATGTCTGAAACAGATGAATAGGGTCACTTTGATTAAGGATGGAAGGAAGATTCATAACATAGTTGGCTTTCAAAAATGGCAAGACTAATCTAGAAGATAGTGAAAGATATTGCTTGTACGGTAGGGACAAAACCACTCTTCTTGACAGAACATGGTAAGTCCTGTGTAGAAAACGTGTCCCAAGTGATAAATGTTCGGTGTTACTTGATTTGTGATGTGCTTTAGTGTTTGTGTGAGTATGTGTAGAAAGGTACGGATGATGAAAATGCTGGTTATTCTGGACTTACCACCTACCCATGAAAGTATTTCCACACACCTTGCATTTCTAAGAATTGTAATAGTTTGTTTATGACTTGTCAAGGTCTTTGTTTAAATGGTTAAAGCAGGCATATCTGTACAACTATGCTGCAATGATCTGCACTAATCTATACAACTGCACTATATATAAAGGAGACATAGTGAGGGATGGCCCCCCAAAAAATAATATATATTTTTCTATTAGACAGTGGAAATTAAGCTGGTTTCTAGTGTACCATTACTAGAGTGGCTATGAAAGGTTGTTATAGTTATTGTTACCAAAACGATCAATACTATTGAGTTTATGACTATGGTTATGCTGAAATCCATTTAATTTTTATTCTCAGAATCCCCATCCATCACAAAAGAATTACCAATGCTGGATGTAGTGAAGGTGAACGGTGCTTTATTTGGGAGTGAGCTCATTGGTACTGCCCCGTTTGAAATAAATTTGTTGAAGGATAAGAGACTTGCCAATTCTGACAAAACCATTTTTGAAGATTTAATTCAATATTTGGATACACATGCATTTGAAAGTTCAGATGTTGGGGAGTACCAGTGTTGCCTATCAAACGAAGTTGGAAAAATCACCTCAAATTCAATTGGTATGATAAGAGGTTAGTATGCTTGAGAAAGACAAGAAGAATAATACCTGCAGGTTACCAGCACTAACAGGTGTGTTACTAACAGGCAGCGCGGGCTACAATGGCTAGCTAAAACTGTTAACAATGCTTTCAATATTAAGCAGTTGCTGTTTCCATGACTTATATGATTCAGTTTTAATTTTTCATGGTTGACCTGCAATATCAACATTTTTAAGACTTTAATTAAAAAGAAAAACACAAGTGCAATAAAATCAAAGGTAAAAGTACAGTACAACTTCTACAATTTCTGACTTTTTACATAGCTTATAGAACGTTCTTTGTTCTTTGTATTTCCGAAAAGGCCGGTGGGTTTCCATACACTGATTCTTTGTCCTAGAAGCCACTTTTTAGATTCATTATGAATAAGAGGGTGCATTTGTATTGAATCATGCTGGAATAATTGGTTGTTCTGCTTCTCTTGTAGTTAAAGGCTGGCAAAAGGATGCAGGATCTTGAGATATTTGAACATGTTTTTAAAAGCGTTGTTTTAGACTGGACTGTGTTTTGCATACCTTTTCTATATTTGGCAAAAATGCATTCTCTGTTGAAAATCACAGGTCATATTTCTTAATTCATGTTTGCTTTTGTCGAGTGATACAGTGCCTTCACGTATCCTGTGTTTGTTATGTAGTTGTAGCTATGGTTTAAGTTAGTTTTCACTTCATCCGGATGTATTTGCCCTGCTTCATCTTCTTTTTGTGGATGTCAGAAACTATAGATGTTTTTACTGGTTAATGAATAATGAATATCTTAACAGTGGTTGTTGGTGAAATTCAATGCAAAAACATCACTCTTGGAAAATGGTAAAGAAACAATGAACAAACTCTGCATCTTCTGAAAATGTTCTTATTCGAATCAGAATGTCTTTCTGAAGAATATACCCAATTTCTTTGAAAAGGCAGTGAAATGGAAGAGGTTCAAGAGAAATCTTGTGTTTGGAAGAAACTGAAATGGGAGAGCAACTGCAACATTCTTCAACAAGGACACATTCCTTTCCATGTTGAGCCATTATTTAAAGGACGAATGAGTGAAGGATCATGGCACACAAATTTGTGGCATTTTTACTGGAATACTGAAATTTCTTCTTTCTTGGATTCTTGGATTTTGCAATGAAATAACTATTCTAATAACTCTTGTTGGTCCTCAGTGTTTTACCTCTTACATGGAATGCAGAATTATATAATAATGAAATGGTTGAGGAATGGTTCCTTTTTTATAGGAAAACAATTTTTTGCTGAAAATTCCGCTGTCTTTGAATATCTACAAGAACAATACAGATATGGATGTCAGTATTCTTGCAAAGTGTGTAATTCTTTAAATCAGATGCTGGTTACTGTGCTCAACATGGATTTTTTGTCATTTCTGCTATATTTAAATAACTTAGACTCTTAGAACTTAGACAGAACTGGAAATGACACTTCTCTAATATGTAGGCCTATATTTATTTTCCTGGACTAAAGCTTTTCAATCCTCTTCACATCAGGACCTGCCCACTTTGTGAAGAAGTTGACAGACCTATCTATTCCAATGAGCAAAAAACTAAGACTTGAATGTACGTTCACTGGAGCTCCAAAAATGTTTGTCACTTGGTACAAGGATGGCAAACAGCTCTATGCTTCATATCGATACAACACCAAAGTTACATCAAACTCCTGTATCCTGGAGTGTCTGCATGAGTGCAACAATGAGACTACAGGAAGATACTCATGTGAAGTTTCAAATATTTATGGGACGAATATATGTCATGCTCAAGTAGTGGCAGTTACAGGTTTGTAATTTTACTCGTCTCTCGCCTGCCCATTGTCAAAGTTCCATACCCATGGATTTTGCCCATGGATATAAAAGGAATAGTTTGGTTTTGCCGCTTTGGACCGCATGTCACCTGGAATGGTGTAATTTTTGTTCATTAAAGATTTTATTTTTTATTTTTAAACCATTATTAAATGATTTAATTTGGGCTTCTCAGTTTAAATGAAAGATACCAGTAATTATAAATGCAGAACTGGAAATGACTCTTCTCTAATATGTAGGCCTATGTATATTTTCCTGGAGTAAAGCTTTTCAATCCTCTTCACTTCAGAACCTGCCCGCTTTGTGAAGAAGTTGACAGACCTATCTATTCCAATGAGCAAAAAACTAAGACTTGAATGCACATTCACTGGAGCTCCAAAAATGTTTGTCACTTGGTACAAGGATGGCAAACAGCTCTACGCTTCATATCGATACAACACCAAAGTTACATCAAACTCCTGTATCCTGGAGTGTCTGCATGAGTGCAACAATGAGACTACAGGAAGATACTCGTGTGAAGTTTCAAACGTTTATGGGACGGATATATGTCATGCACAAATAGTAGCAGTTACAGGTTTGTAATTTTTACTTGTCTCTTGCCTGCCCATTTTTCAAAGTTCCATACCCATGGATTTTGCCCATGGATATAAATGAATAGTTTGGTTGGTGTTGCAGCTTTGGACCGCATGTCACCTGGAATGGTGTCATTTTTATTCATCATGGTTTTTTTGGGGGAGTTGGCAACAATATGGTGTGCTGCTGTGACATTTTGCACGTTCATTGAAGTGGCTCAAGTGTCTTAATTCAAGTCTATTTTGTCCTATATCAAGGCTACGATAGGAGCTGGCATGTTTTTTTGAGTGCTTCTTGTTGTGGGATATTGATCAACTTGCGTTTGCATCTGCAAGTTTCCTGAGGCACGCTTGGAAGATATTGCATACTTCAACAAATTTGAGGAGTTTATTTTAAAGAACAATCTGCATGTTTTAAAGGATGAATTGTGGCCTGTTTGTGTAGTTCTTGGCGTTGTTAAGAAAGTCATTTAAATTGATCTGATGATGTTCTTCTTAGAGCCTGCCCGCTTTGTGAAGAGGTTGACAGACATGGCTGTCCCACTCAGTCAGAAACTGAGACTTCAGTGTTCATTCAATGGAGCACCGAAGATGTTTGTCACATGGTACAAAGATGGAAAGCAACTGTACGCCTCATACAGATACAACACAAGGATCATTGAGAACACTTGCATTTTGGAATGCCTCCATGAATGTAACAATGAAACACCTGGAAAATACTCTTGTGAAGTATCAAATTCCTTTGGCACTGATATCTGTCATGCCGATATAACTACAGTTACAGGTTCGTATGCCATCCTAGTTTACTTATTTACAGATATCTTTAATGTTTAGGCAGACATAGATTAAAAATAATTTCATTAATTTCTTGTTCTCAGAACCTGCCTGTTTTGAACAGAAGCTTAAGGACAAAAAAGTTGCCATGAGTAAAAAACTGAAGCTTGAGTGCACGTTTACTGGAGCTCCTAAAATCTTTGTCACCTGGTACAAGGACGGCAAACAAATATATGCCTCTTACAGATATAATACTCAAGTTGTTGGAAACACTTGCACTCTAGAATGTCTACATGAATGCACTAAAGACACTCCTGGTAGATACTCCTGTGAGGTGTCCAATTCCTATGGAAGTGATATCTGTCATGCTGAAGTGAACACAGTTTCTGGTTAGTGCACCTTAAAAGGCTCTTTATCCTAAAATTAGTGTTGGATGGAATTCAAGTTGATTCTTTAGCCGAAGCCAGTTATTTGCAAGCATATTGATGATGCTCATCCAATATTGTTCCTCTTAGGACCTGCTCGTTTTGTGAAGAAACTCACAAACCAGACTCTTCAATGGGGACAAAAGTTGAGACTTGAATGCTCCTTCACAGGAATTGAAAAACTGTTTGTCACATGGTACAAGGATGGCAAACAGGTCTACGCTTCATATAGGTGCAACACAAAAGTAATTGGAAAAACTTGCATTTTGGAATATCATCATGAGTGTGATGAGGATACTCCTGGAAAATATTCTTGTGAGGTTACAAATGAAGATGGATCCGATATTTGTCATGCGCTGGTCACCCTTGCGACAGGTTGGTTAACTGCAGTCAGAAATTTGAGTGAATTTATAGATCATCCAACTTTTTCATTCTTTCTATACTTTCCAATGCGCTTCTTTTCTTTAATCTCAAAGAGATCATCTTTCTCTAGATAAATTGCTAGAATTCAACATTAAACACTGGCAGCCTTTACAAAGGGAATATTATATATAATATATATAATTGAGTATATTATTCAAACTGAAAAGAAAATCTCAAACTTAAAGTTCAATTTAGAGTACACAGCAACTTTCAACATTAGCACTGGTGTACAATAGCCAAATGCAAACTAGTGTTTTTTTATAGTGTTATTATTTATATATGATTACAATATTTTGTAATGTTTATAATTAGCTTATTTAATTAGCTTTTATTTTTATACTTTTTGTTTTCATTTTCAGATTTAGTACTTGTGTTTTGTGCTTGTAATTTTTTTAAGTTATTTTTATTTTAGATTTAGTTTTAGGTTTAGTTTAGCTCTATGTTCATAATTCAGTTTTTCCTCTAATATTTTTTATTTTTTTTATTTTAGCTTTAACAAAAAATATTTTAACCATTGTAGTTTTTGTTAACAGTAACAACGCTAATGCAATAAACAATGTAGCAAAAATGCATTAAATAAAGCATTAAATACAGTTGCTGCTTCATGTAGTAAACAGCTTACACTTCAGTTTTAAATGTCACGTTAACTCTATAATATCACATTTAACAGACGTTGAGTAGTCTAATAAGACACTTTAGTCTGCTTTTCAACTATAGAATTCCTTAATATGCTAATCTACTAAACATTTAAAAGGTATTTAGTACTGGATTAAAAGCTTTTTATTTCTAGAAGTTAGATTGGAAGGTTAGATTGGAAGTGCCATGGCAGAGGCATTGCAAATATGAATTTGGTCAAAGGATTGAGAAGACTAATACGAGAGATTGCAAAATGTAAAGTGTGGATAAAACTGCACGCCTAGCTATTCTGAAAGCAGAAAAGACAGATGCTTGTCTTGCCATGCAAGCAAAGAACTTGATTTAAAAAAGAAAAGAAAAAGAAAACAACAACACACATTAAACTCTTTGTGGTATGTATTTTGATTAAATATGTGACCTAGTGTGTGTGTAATGTGTTTTGTTTTCAGAGCGCAAAATTCCACCAACTTTCACTAAGAAACCCTCAGAGCACATTGAGGATGCCGGGGGGAAATTGGTGAAGCTTGAGGGTCGAGTATCTGGGTCACAGCCTCTATCTGTAAGCTGGTATAAAGATAATAGAGAAATCAACACTTCTGACATCTATGACATTTCCTTCAAGAGCAGCACGGCTGTGATGTGTCTCAAGAATGCCACAGTCACAGACAGTGGCGTTTATACATGCAGCGCTTCTAATGAAGCGGGCACTGCCTCCTTCAAGGTGGTGGTTAACATCACTCTATTCCAATGAGCAAAAAACTAAGGCTTGAATGCACATTTACCGGAGCTCCAAAAATGTTTGTCACTTGGTACAAGGATGGCAAACAGCTCTATGCTTCATATCGATACAACACCAAAGTTACATCAAACTCCTGTATCCTGGAGTGTCTGCATGAGTGCAACAATGAGACTACTGGAAGATACTCATGTGAAGTTTCAAATGTTTATGGGATGGATATATGTCATGCTCAAGTAGTGGCAGTTACAGGTTTGTAATTTGTACTGGACTCTTGCCTGCCCGTCTTCCAAAGTTCCATACCCATGGATTTTGTCCATGGATATTAAAGAAATAGTTTGATATTGCAGCGTTGGACCGCATGTCACCTGGAATGGTGTCATTTTTATTCATCATGGTTTTTTTGGGGGAGTTGGCAACAATATGGTGTGCTGCTGTGACATTTTGCACGTTCATTGAAGTGGCTCAAGTGTCTTAATTCAAGTCTATTTTGTCCTATATCAAGGCTACGATAGGAGCTGGCATGTTTTTTTGAGTGCTTCTTGTTGTGGGATATTGATCAACTTGCGTTTGCATCTGCAAGTTTCCTGAGGCACGCTTGGAAGATATTGCATACTTCAACAAATTTGAGGAGTTTATTTTAAAGAACAATCTGCATGTTTTAAAGGATGAATTGTGGCCTGTTTGTGTAGTTCTTGGCGTTGTTAAGAAAGTCATTTAAATTGATCTGATGATGTTCTTCTTAGAGCCTGCCCGCTTTGTGAAGAGGTTGACAGACATGGCTGTCCCACTCAGTCAGAAACTGAGACTTCAGTGTTCATTCAATGGAGCACCGAAGATGTTTGTCACATGGTACAAAGATGGAAAGCAACTGTACGCCTCATACAGATACAACACAAGGATCATTGAGAACACTTGCATTTTGGAATGCCTCCATGAATGTAACAATGAAACACCTGGAAAATACTCTTGTGAAGTATCAAATTCCTTTGGCACTGATATCTGTCATGCCGATATAACTACAGTTACAGGTTCGTATGCCATCCTAGTTTACTTATTTACAGATATCTTTAATGTTTAGGCAGACATAGATTAAAAATAATTTCATTAATTTCTTGTTCTCAGAACCTGCCTGTTTTGAACAGAAGCTTAAGGACAAAAAAGTTGCCATGAGTAAAAAACTGAAGCTTGAGTGCACGTTTACTGGAGCTCCTAAAATCTTTGTCACCTGGTACAAGGACGGCAAACAAATATATGCCTCTTACAGATATAATACTCAAGTTGTTGGAAACACTTGCACTCTAGAATGTCTACATGAATGCACTAAAGACACTCCTGGTAGATACTCCTGTGAGGTGTCCAATTCCTATGGAAGTGATATCTGTCATGCTGAAGTGAACACAGTTTCTGGTTAGTGCACCTTAAAAGGCTCTTTATCCTAAAATTAGTGTTGGATGGAATTCAAGTTGATTCTTTAGCCGAAGCCAGTTATTTGCAAGCATATTGATGATGCTCATCCAATATTGTTCCTCTTAGGACCTGCTCGTTTTGTGAAGAAACTCACAAACCAGACTCTTCAATGGGGACAAAAGTTGAGACTTGAATGCTCCTTCACAGGAATTGAAAAACTGTTTGTCACATGGTACAAGGATGGCAAACAGGTCTACGCTTCATATAGGTGCAACACAAAAGTAATTGGAAAAACTTGCATTTTGGAATATCATCATGAGTGTGATGAGGATACTCCTGGAAAATATTCTTGTGAGGTTACAAATGAAGATGGATCCGATATTTGTCATGCGCTGGTCACCCTTGCGACAGGTTGGTTAACTGCAGTCAGAAATTTGAGTGAATTTATAGATCATCCAACTTTTTCATTCTTTCTATACTTTCCAATGCGCTTCTTTTCTTTAATCTCAAAGAGATCATCTTTCTCTAGATAAATTGCTAGAATTCAACATTAAACACTGGCAGCCTTTACAAAGGGAATATTATATATAATATATATAATTGAGTATATTATTCAAACTGAAAAGAAAATCTCAAACTTAAAGTTCAATTTAGAGTACACAGCAACTTTCAACATTAGCACTGGTGTACAATAGCCAAATGCAAACTAGTGTTTTTTTATAGTGTTATTATTTATATATGATTACAATATTTTGTAATGTTTATAATTAGCTTATTTAATTAGCTTTTATTTTTATACTTTTTGTTTTCATTTTCAGATTTAGTACTTGTGTTTTGTGCTTGTAATTTTTTTAAGTTATTTTTATTTTAGATTTAGTTTTAGGTTTAGTTTAGCTCTATGTTCATAATTCAGTTTTTCCTCTAATATTTTTTATTTTTTTTATTTTAGCTTTAACAAAAAATATTTTAACCATTGTAGTTTTTGTTAACAGTAACAACGCTAATGCAATAAACAATGTAGCAAAAATGCATTAAATAAAGCATTAAATACAGTTGCTGCTTCATGTAGTAAACAGCTTACACTTCAGTTTTAAATGTCACGTTAACTCTATAATATCACATTTAACAGACGTTGAGTAGTCTAATAAGACACTTTAGTCTGCTTTTCAACTATAGAATTCCTTAATATGCTAATCTACTAAACATTTAAAAGGTATTTAGTACTGGATTAAAAGCTTTTTATTTCTAGAAGTTAGATTGGAAGGTTAGATTGGAAGTGCCATGGCAGAGGCATTGCAAATATGAATTTGGTCAAAGGATTGAGAAGACTAATACGAGAGATTGCAAAATGTAAAGTGTGGATAAAACTGCACGCCTAGCTATTCTGAAAGCAGAAAAGACAGATGCTTGTCTTGCCATGCAAGCAAAGAACTTGATTTAAAAAAGAAAAGAAAAAGAAAACAACAACACACATTAAACTCTTTGTGGTATGTATTTTGATTAAATATGTGACCTAGTGTGTGTGTAATGTGTTTTGTTTTCAGAGCGCAAAATTCCACCAACTTTCACTAAGAAACCCTCAGAGCACATTGAGGATGCCGGGGGGAAATTGGTGAAGCTTGAGGGTCGAGTATCTGGGTCACAGCCTCTATCTGTAAGCTGGTATAAAGATAATAGAGAAATCAACACTTCTGACATCTATGACATTTCCTTCAAGAGCAGCACGGCTGTGATGTGTCTCAAGAATGCCACAGTCACAGACAGTGGCGTTTATACATGCAGCGCTTCTAATGAAGCGGGCACTGCCTCCTTCAAGGTGGTGGTTAACATCACAGGTAGACAATATTGTCTTACTGCATGATTATCTTATTTCTCACTTGTCATATTCCCTTTTCTTCTTTGCATGCTAATTTCTGGTAATTCTGTGATGTGTATTAAATGTGGCTTTCTGTTGTACTGCATAAACATGACCTCCCCTCCTTTTCACTGAAAAGCACAGGTAAAAATGCTGACATTGTTCACTTTTTAATATCTAGAGCAAAAAAGGCCACCGACTTTTGACATTCCCCTTAAACCAGTGACAGTGAGTGAGGGAGAGAGGCTAAACCTTAGCTATCATGTCTGCGGGTCTCCCCCAATGAAGATTCAGTGGATGAAGGACAGAAGGGAGGTCACATCCTCTGCTAGAACCAAGACGATTTTTGTGGATGGCACAGCCACCCTGGAGATAAACCAGACATCCAAAACTGATGCAGGAGATTATCTGTGCAAGGCAACCAACAGTGCTGGTAGTGAATTCTCCAAGGCCAAAGTCACAATCAAAGGTAATTAGAAGACTATTGTAAATCTAAATTTTCTGTACTACTCAAAATGTGCATTTTAATGCAGCTAAATGAAAAATGTGGTATGAAAAACATATTATTGAACTCTTTACATTTAATTAGTTTCTTTGTTTCATTTTCTACTTTTGGGTGTGATATTCTCAACTTTTCTAACAGTACCAAGTAGAGTTTAAGCTAATTTCTTATTTCATTGTCATGCATTTTGGCATCTTTACAATCTTTATGATTTCCACATCTTGTTTTGCTTGCTACTTTGGTGCTTTGATCTTGCTGTTTCTTACAAAGTTTTACATTTTTCATAGGGCACCAAGCTGCAATGTTTTGCTGTGATCTTGATAATATTTTAATCACATATTTATTCTTGATTCATCAAGGATCTTTTTAGAAATGCGTTTTATCTGAATAGCAATGCTTAAGGCACCGATGCTTAGACTTACATAAATTGCTAACTAAGGTGGATGAGCTTGATCTGTGAGCTTTATTATTTTTATTAATGTGGAGTTTGTGACAGTCTAAAGCAGATGCACTAAACTTGTTAAAATGTTGAGATGTGACAACTATTCTTATCTAGATTTCAGTTTATTTTTATAAGTTGCTTAATATGTTGTTACATTGTCGGTATTACTCAGATAAAGCAAGTGCAGCACCTGCAACATCACCGGCAGCCCTCACAGCACCTCAGACAGTTAAAAAACTGGATAACTTGTTCTTCATTGAGGAGCCCAAGAGCATTCATATTGTTGAGAGTAAGTTGCTGCTTTCTGCTAAACAGTGTAGATGTGTAATTTTTATGATTAGTGTTAAATGTTGAATTGCATGATGGATCACATCACATTCTGGATTACAGAGGGTACAGCTACCTTCATTGCTAAAGTTGGTGGTGATCCCATTCCCAATGTGAAATGGATGAAGGGCAAATGGAGGCAGATGACTCATGGTGGTCGCGTCAACATTCAACAAAAAGGCCAAGAGGCCAAGTTGGAGATCAAAGAGGTGACCAAATCTGACTCTGGTCAGTACAGATGTGTTGCCTCAAACAAACATGGAGAAATTGAGTGCAGCACAGATTTGAATGTTAATGAGAAGAAAGACTCTGGACCAGAGGTGGTCAAACTGAAGAAGTGAGTCGGAAATTGTGATTTTCTTTGCCAGAAAAGCTCAAAATCCCAATTCTGTTCTGATTATAACCTTGCACTCTCTTTTGTTGCGTTCAGGACTCCATCAAAGCAGAAAAGTCCAAAGGAAGACAAAGACATTGACATTGTTGAGTTGCTAAGAAATGTAGATCCAAAAGAGTATGAGAAATATGCTCGCATGTATGGAATCACAGACTTCCGAGGTCTCCTTCAAGCTATTGAGTTTCTGAAGAAGGAGAAGGGTGAAGAAAGTGGACAACCGGTAGATAAATCTAAATTGTTTTGTCTTAATAGATGATCCAAATCTTGCGTTTTCCTACTTTATTGAGATATAAATCTACAACAAATAGCTTTAATCAGTGCCCTTGTTTTCTGAATCAGGAAAGTGAACATGGAAGAGAATATGATGAGGATTTGGCTAAGCTTGTGTCTGATTTGCAGAGGAGAATGGAACACAGTGAAGTATGTTCCTTCTTTGGGAAGTTGAAGAACCACTGCTTCAATTTTCAGACATATTGGCATATTGTTGCATATGCTTATCAGGTACATGTTGATGCCCTAAATGTATGAATATTTTGTTTTTGCAGCCTGTTACCCTGCTTAAAGACATCACAGATCAGACAACGCAAGTTAACAAAGAGGCAGTGTTTGAGTGTGAGATTAAAATCAACTATCCAGAAATTACACTGTCTTGGTATAAAGATACACAGAAGCTAGAAACTAGTGATAAATACGACATTAAACTCGTGGGCGACCGTCAGATATTGAAGATCAAGAACTGTCAGACCAGTGACCAGGGAAATTACCGTGTCGTTTGTGGGCCACATATATCCAGTGCCAGACTGATAGTGTTGGGTAAGTCCATTTTAAAGACCTTGTATTCTGCATTGAAATAAAATGTTTGTACTTATAATTAATTGAGGCACATTTACCTCAATATTCTACAGAGAGTCAAGTTAATGTTCAGAAACCATCACCTGGTAAGAGGGTAGAATTGCATTGTAGTGCAGTGTTTACTGACACATATTATAGATTTGTCTTACACCATGTTTTACTATTTCACTTCAACTATAAGAAATTAAATGATCAGAATGAGAAGGAGGGCCACATAGATTGCCCAATCATGTAAGGAAATTACTAACCTCTTCTTGTTTCTTCACTTACTAGCTAATGCTAAGCATTTGTTTATTTTTCCTCTTAGTGCTTTAAAATTGCTTGCCTATAGTGGTGTTGATTATGTACCATCAAAAAGTGTGCGTTTGAAAGCACATTTACATTTCTTCTTATTTCTTTCCTCTTTTTTAATTATGATTATTATTATTTTGAAAACAGTGACATTTTGAAGTAATTAACGATTCCAATTCTTTCATATTTTTTCTAGCTGATCAAATTCAGTTCACCAAGCGCATTCAAAATATTGTGGTGAATGAGCATCAGTCTGCCACTTTTGAGTGCGAGTTGTCTTTTGACAATGCGGTCGTCACCTGGTATAAAGATACATGGGAGCTTAAAGAGAGCCCGAAATATACCTTTAGGTGTGAGGGACGAAGGCACTTTATGATAATCCTTAACGTAACATCTGACGATGAAGGTGTGTACATTATTCTTAATGTACTACTTAGTAGCTCATATAAATATGGAATTACAAAGATTTAAACTAAATTAACCTCACTGAAAATCTTTTAGGTGTGTACTCTGTGATTGCACGCCTGGAGCCTGTTGGTGAAACTAAAAGTACAGCAGAGCTTTATCTGTCAGGAAAAGGTAAAATGTACAGCAGCATCACTTTGTGGCTTGTTTGCTAGAGTTTAGTCAAGAGCAATTATATTTCACTTTCTTTTGCAGAATTTGAAATAAGACCACGTTCTTTTGGTAAGTGATTTGTTATGCACTAAATCGTTTCTGAGAATTAACCATCTCTTATTTACACCTCAGTCCCCTACCCCAACTCATTTCTTTGCAAATTCTGGAAAATGTAAACTTTATTCAGTGAAACCATTAAAAAAATTATTAAAATGTAATAATAATAAAAGTAAATAAATTAAATTCATCTCAACCTAGACGTTCCTGATACATCGATACATGTGCCAGATGTGTCATCTGTGATTAGTTTAAAAGGTAAGACTAAAACAAATAAACAAATGTATAAATAGAAGGCCATGAATTCCTGCAGTTTTATATATTTATATATAACTTATAATGATATAATTGTTACCTTTTGTTTAAAAGATGAATCCTCAGAATTTCATTATGAAGAGAAGTTTGAAATAACAGGTACTATTTTAAATAAAAAAAAAACAATTTCTAATGTTTCTTAACCTTTAATATATGAACTTAATGAGTACATTAAGTACACTAAAAGACTAAACACTAAAAGTTTCCATAATGTCAACTCCTGAATGCATTGATTGACTAATATTACCATATCATTTGCACCTTACCATTTAATATCACCCTGATATAATTTAAAGTTCATATTTAATTAAAATACAACTAATGTAATATGATCATGTTCTGTAGTTAGCATTTCTTTCTTATTTTCTTCTTCTTATTATTATTATTCTTATTATTATTATTGTTGTTGTTATCTTTGCATTTGTGCTAACATCTGAGCTGAACAAGATTTTGTCCAACACTGTTGTTACAGAATAAAAAAAATAAATAAATAAAAATTTCTTATTGTATGGTAGAGTGTCAGAACTGGACAGTTCAAGAGGAGAGTGTTACTTATGAATTCTCTTCACTGCAAGGTATACTGTAGTTTACAGTCTTTGAATCTTTAACTAAGAGCATAACATTTTGCTCGTCTTATTTGTACAGTATATGTGTGGACTTTCTTCACTCATCTTCATTATCTTGTCTTTTTACATACATTTTGTCAAAGCTATCATTGTGTATTCCTTGTCTTTTTAATATAACTGACTATTAAACATCATCACTGCCTATCCCCTTTAATAACTATCTCCTCCATCATTTTCAATTCAGGATCATTAACATTTTGAATCCACAGGTATTGTGCTGCAAACTTTGTGTTTGTATGTTTGAAACTGAATTTGTGTGTATATGTTCATGCCTAAGAATGTTCTTGTTTTCCATCAGAATTGAAGAAACCTGTTGAGGAGATTGTAACGAAACATGTAGTGGAAAGGACAGAGGAGGTGCCTACAAAAGGTATTGGATGAAGGCAAAATGCTTGTGGCAGACTTTGCTTATGGCTGTCCCTGATGATCTCTTAACATTTATATATGTAAAGCCAACTGCTTAATTTTTTTCCTCCAGTGAAACACTTACAACATTTTGGTCTGTGCTGAACCAAAACATTTTGGTTCTTTCCTTGTCTTGGTGTTGTGTTTGTATGTTATTATATGTCATTGTGCAGTTGTTCATTGTAAAATTGCTTCACTTTTTTTTATTGGTCTTGGTTGTATGTCCATGAATATTTTCTTCTAATGCTTGTGCAATCATGCTAAAAGCATGGATGTTTTGGCTACTTAAACTCTGCTTAAGCTTTGCAGTTGTATTTTAACAAAGCTGTCTTTTATGCACCTGAAGTTATGAAGCAACCAGAAGAGACAACCGAAACATCCTTTGTACAGCCTCCAGTTCCTGAGAAAGGTATTATTATGTCTTTGCTTGAGTTTAACATTGTTTCTCTGTTTCTACCTCTGTGTGTTCATTGTTTTCTGACAAAATATTTAAACCAAATCTGTTTTCCTATTTGTGAGATGTCTGTTTCTTACCATATCAATTGTTTGTGTACTTGCTGTACATTTAGCTCTTTGGTGTAAAGAATCATAATTTGCTAATTTTATTTCTATGATGCCATGATATTTTTAAGAACCTGAAGTCAAGAAGCCTGTTGAGGAAAAAGTTCGAACTGTCAAGGTGACAGAGCAAAAAGAACAACCCACATGCAAAGGTATTATCAGCAGTATGTGTTTTCAGTGTGTATACCAATTTATATTTGTTCTATGTATGTTGATTCTTTGTCTAAATATGTTTCTTTTTTCAGTTCAAGTTTATGTCATGTGTATATGTTGATATGTGTGTAACTGTAATTTGCAGTTTCTTCTTGTATCATTTTCTTGTTAGTATGTAAAATATTCTTAATGTCTTGAGACTGAAAAATTCTTGTATACAGAAATTAAATATCTGAAGCTGCTGTTTATAATTCCTGTTTGTGTTCTTAGTCTCCTTTGAGAATTGATAGCAATATAAGTGTTAACTTAAAGATGTTCTAAAACCTACACCCTCAGAGCCTAAACCTCAGGTGCCAGCAGAACCAAAGGCTAAAGTGGCTGAACCAAAGCCTGAACCTAAGTCTGAGCCAAAAGCTCTACCCAAACCTGAGCCCAAGCCTGAGCCAAAAACTCTACCCAAACCTGAGCCCAAGCCTGAGCCAAAATCTCTACCTAAACCTGAGCCCAAGACTGAGCCAAAAACTCTACCGAAACCTGAGCCCAAGCCTGAGCCAAAAGCTCTACCGAAACCTGAGCCCAAACCTGAACCCAAGCCTGAGCCAAAAGTTACACCAAAGCCTGAGGCTGAACCTAAGCCTGCAGTTGCAAAGAAAGTTGAGGCACCCTCTGTCAAAGGTATTGTGTGTAATTTAATCATATGTGCTAGTTTTTTCTTTGTGTTTGTTATGTGGGTCAGCATGTCTGTATGAGTCAAGTACTGTATGTACGGATGCTTTCCTTAATTAGTTGTATGTTCTGTCCTTAACCAACCTCTTGTTTAACTTAAGAATATAAAGTCTCCTCTGCTTTATATTTTGGGGTTTACTGTATGCTTCTTTGTTTTTGGTGTTCTTTTAAAGCACCTGAAGCTCCAAAAAAAACAGAAGCTGCACCTCAACCATCCTTAGATATTAAAAAAGTTGAGGCTTTAACTCCAAAGCCAGACACTACTCAAATAAAAGGTAACTCTTTAATCTCAATTGTTAAGAAGCACAATTACTGAGCATAAGTCTTGCAAGGGATTTTAAAACAGTTTAATTTTGTTTGTTGTCTGTACAAATCTTTGCCACCAAAAATGGTGCTCTTGGAATGCATGTGAAACTCTTATCTTGAACTTTTAATTGATTCTTTTCATTATATGGGCTTCTGCATTCTAGTGTGAATGCCTCTTTTTGTGATATGACACTGTTTAACACATATGTGTTCTTTTGAAGCTTTTGTGGAGATGAAGGAAAGAGAACCACCAAAAGTAAAGCTAGACAGAAAGCCAGCGCCTGCACATGCTGCCGCTGAGCCACCAAAGAAAGAAGTCTCTTCACTACTGCCAGAAGAATCTAACAAAGATCATTTGCCTGTCCAGTCTGAGCCATCAAGTGTAGAGCCAGCTAGTCAGCCTGAAACTACACAAAGCCAGCCTCCTGAGCCAGTTAGAAAACAAGTAGTCAAAGCTCCACCAGAGGTTATAGTTGAACCAACAAGAAAACAACCTCACCAAGAAGTTTTCAAAGCAGAGTCAGTTGGAAACATTGAGCCTTTACCCAAAACTTCAGAGTCACCTCAAACAGATCAAGCTAAAAAGCAAGTGCCATCAAAGAGTGAACCAACCCCTAAAATCAGTGAGCCAGCACTTGCTCACAAAAAGGAGGGTCGTCCACAGAAAGGTATTATTAAGTCTTCATATTAAGCTCCTTAGTGTGCCCTGCATTAATGGGGTAGCAATTATTGCAAACTCTTTAAAAGTGTCTTCTTATCTTATTTACTCTTCTTAATGTGCTGTTCTTTGTCTGGTGTTATTTTTATATTTACGAAGTGGTTGAAGTAAAGGCTGCAGAACTACCATCTGAGAAAAATCCTGTGACTAAAGCTAAAATGGAGACTGAGATTCCCTCAGCCAAAGGTATGCTCGGTTGGTCATAGGAGATACAAATCAAAATTGTGTCTCTGCATTAAAAAAATCTGTTTGTGTTACAAAAACAGATCTCCCACTTTTTATAGCATAACCATTATTAACATTTTAATCATAGTTAGCTGAAGAATTATTTTAAATATTATTAATATATTAATCTACTCTGGGTTAAATAAGTTTTACCTTCAATAACCTTCAATAACGCAAGCCAGAGAAAAGAGTGCATTCTGGTAATGCTGCCAAAATAAAGATTATTGCTAAAATCATGGAAATCCCCATTATGAAAGATGCTATTTTCGCTTTTATTTTGCAATAACAAATGATCTTTTCTAGGTTAAAGTAGGGAAACTTAGAGATTTAAATTGATGTTGGTATGCATGTTTTGTTGAAAATTCTTCTTCCACCATTGCATGGTGCAATCTTGAAAATCTTTCATCTTTAAAGTCTTTGCAGCGTCTGAGAAGAAAACGGACACATTTTCTCATACAGTGGAATCAACTCAGAAGATTTCCATGGATGAAATGTTTTTGAAGGAGGAAATTGTGGAAGAGAGTGAAAGCATGCCTCATCAACCAGAGGAAATTTTGTCTTATCAAGATTGTATTGTAAGGATGGATGTTAGTCATCACAGTAGAGAATCAGCTGCTGAAGATGTGAAGATAATTGAAACAGAGGTTTCCCAGAAGCCAGAACTTTCTTTTGAGCTAATAAAAACAAAGGAGATACCTGAGATGAAATGGTCAAAACAAGAAATGCACATTGAGAAAAAGGAATGTAAATTAGAGATGTCCAGTGTTGAAACGTCTCCAGAAGATGTGGTAGAAGTTGGCATTGAGGCACCACAGAAAAGGCAAGAATTTATATCAGATAAAAAGAAAACAACTAAAGATATGCCTCTACAAAAGAGAGATGATACCCCTAGAAAAGAGATGGCCATTCAGAGAGAAATAGATGTTCACAAGAAAGAGTCTATTCACTTACAGCAGTCTGTTCATGAAAACAAGAGACTACATGAGGAAACCCCTCAGAAATCACCAGAGATAACACCAATAGTAAAACCAGAAGAAAATGGAACTATATTAAAGGAAGTCCATAAAGCACTTGAAAGAGGTAAACCTTACAGTCTTCAGCAAATGCCTTGATTGGTATATTGCAATCTTTACTTGAATTGTTTGCCTTCAGGTATTTGCCGAAAAGGCAACTGTGATTTACTTTTCTTTGTCCTTATAAGTCTTGTGCCTGCATGTACCTCTTTAGTTTCTTGTATCTTGAATATGTTATAATTCTTAATTAGACGAGAAGACCCAGGCTGTTGCAACTCCTGTGTCAGAAGTTGTTTCTCCTACAAAAGGTACTCAAAGGAAGGCTGGGAGATTTGGTGCTATTACTCTTCAGTTCTTAGTTTAGTGTGTGATAATGTGTATGTATGCTCATCTGTAAATGTTCATGGTCTATTTCTTCATTGTGATCATGGCTTACTTTTATTTAAAGAACCAGAAATAGTGAAGAAACCTGAACCAGAAGTCCCAAAACCAACTGTGGCTTCAGCTGAACAGAAAATACCACCTCCATCAAAAGGTATTCAGCAAAACTGGAAGAAACATCTCCTGGTATAAAAGTCTGTCTTTGATATAATTTCTGTTTGTTTTGTATCTTCTTTTTTCATCATGTTTAAATGTTATTTGACAAGTCCAATTACACCTTATTCCACATGTGGCTTTATTGTTTGTGACTGTGATTATGGTATTGTTTTAATTAAAGAGCCAACTGTTGAAAGGAAACCATCACCTGAGGCACCAAAGCCAAGTGTGGCTCCAGTTGAACGGAAAATATTGCCTCTTTCAAAAGGTATTCAAAGTCACACTGTGGTAGAACTCTTTCTGGTCTGTTTGTTAGTCTATGGTATGTGTTTGCTTGTTTTGTTAGTCTAATGATCTTTTTCTGTGCTCATCTTTACATGTTCTTTGTCCAGTCAAATAATGTCTTAGTCCCATGATTTATTTGTTCTTGTTCTTACTTGTGATTATGGCATTGTTTTATTTAAAGAGTCAGCTGTTGAAAAGAAACCAGCTCCTGAAGTACCAAAGCCAACTGTGGCTCCAGTAGAACAGAAAATAGTATCTCCTCCAAAAGGTATATAAAGCAACAAAATAAATAGCTGGTCTATAGTCTTTGGATTGATGTGTGATTGTTTGTTTTTATTTGTGTTCATCTTTAAATGTTCCTTGTCCAGTCAAATTACATCTTATTCCACATTTGCCTTCTCTATTTTTGGTTGTGATTATGGTATTGTTTTATTTAAAGAGCCTACTGTTGAAAAGAAACCATCTCCTGTGGCACCAGAGCCAACAGCAGCTACAAAAGAACAGAGAGTCTCTCCTCCCACAGGTAGAGTCTCTGTTTTCATGTATTCTGTGTCAGTTGTTATTGTTGTTGGTGTTTCCTTTTGGGTTGTTAATGTGTCTTTGTGGTCTTGTGAATTCTACTTTTAAAGTATCTTTTGAATCCTGTCATGTGATTACTTAAAATACTTACTAACCAGTTTGACTTTTTTTAAATGTTTTTTTAACCAAAATTATGGATGAGAGGTATCTTCTTTTGTATTACACTTTGTTTAAACATATTCATAATGAGAATTCTTTCTTCAATGGAACCCCAAAGGAAATGTTCAATAGAATGTCTAAGCAACTGTCTTCTATACAATGAAAGCGGATGGGAACCAGGGACTGTCAAGTTCCAGAAAATAAAGACCAAAAATGCATCATAGAAGTAGTCTATATGACTTGAGTTATAATTAAAGTTTTCTGAAGACATATGATGTGAGGAACAGATTGAAATTTAAGTTAATTTCTACAAATTTAACAGCCATGGTCACCATTCACTTTCATTGAATAGAAAAGAACAGCTTGGACAGAATGCTATTTCCTTTGTATTCCACATAGGACATAAAGTCATATAAAGGGTTTTGAAAGACACAAGGGGAGTTAATTATGACAGAATTTACATTTTAAGTGAATTGTGCTTCTAACTTGTGTGTCGGTACCTGTTTAATCTGAAATGATCTCTGAAACAGATGCAGATAAGGGCCCTGTTACAGCTCCTGGACCTGCTGGCAAAGGTATGTTAATGTGTGAGTCACATGCCACAAATGAATCTTCAAATGTTTGATTATTAAACATATTCAAATCAGTTATTCAGGCAGCACATTTCACATGTCTGCTTGTTGTTCTGTTTGTTTTGTCTAATTTTTGTTTGCTTATTGTTTTGTTTTATTGTTCTTTTTTCTTTATTTATTTTTAAGCTTTACAGTTCTGTTCGCTACTGTTTATCAGGGTTGAGGTTCATTTCATTTTAATTCCAACATTAAAAAAAAACACTAATGACATGGCTTCAACCCTGCTGTGTACAGGTGTCTTATGTCATGCTGATTGTACTGTCCATGTTATGTGATATTGTGACCTTTATTGCCTCAGAAACAACTAGCACCACACAAGCACTTCTTAAACAAAAGAGTAAAATTCACATCAAGGAAGAGGAAAAACTGGAAATGCCAACCATAACGAAAGTAACCAGAAGATCAAAAGAACATCAGGAAGATCATGAAGTTATATCACTTAAGAAAGTAAACAAGATTCAGTGTGAAGAACCACCAACAGATGAGGGGCCACTTCTCCAGAAAGTTGAGAAAGCTGAAATAGTTGGAGAGGAGATGGTGTATTCAAAGGCTGTTACTGAAATCAAACTCACCAGCAACTATGAAGTCACAGAAGATACTTGGTCATATGAAACCGCTAAAAAAACAAATAAAATATCTAAAGAGGAGGGAAAGAAGACTGAACAATACAAGGATGTGATGAAGAAGAAAGAGATTACTACTGAAATAGGTGGAGAAGTAGAAAATAAGGGTAAACAAGGAAGTAAAATTCCAGTGGAAGATGAACCTAAGATACCTCAGAAAAAGGTAACTAAGGCAATATCAACTGAGAAAGAACAGGAAACTGTAAAATTAAAACCTGCCGAGAAATTAGACAAAGCTGTTGTAGGACCCCAGAAAGACAGCAACATATACAGCAGCAGTGATAGTATTGGTGTCCAAAAACACGAAAGGCTTATAAAGGATGAGCCTGTTTCAAAAAAAGAAATATATGTGACACCTACAGATCAAAAAACTAAAGAACCCATAATTCCAAAACCTGTTGTGGCTAAAGATGAAATCTCCAAAGAACCTGAGAAATTTCCAAAGAAAGCAAAGAGAATTCTACAACAGGTTGAGGAGCCAGAAACTGTTACACTAAAACCATTTTCCAAAGAATCTCATGCTGATGTAACTGCTGAAATGGTTCCTCAAGAGCAAACTGAGAAAAAGCCTGTAGACATTAAGCATCCAGAGAGACCGGAAACAACACATATCCTGAAGGAACCTCACATCCAGGTAAAAGAACCAGGAAAAAGTGAAAAAATATATGAAGAGGCTAAAGAGATCGAAAAGCTAGAGTCACCCCATGAGTATCAGCTCATGAAGAGTACTACTACTCCAGAAAAGACACAGGAAGGTCCCAAAGAAGAGGGGAAGGGAATAGCTAAAAAACACAAAATGATTTCAATGGATAAAACAAAAAAAGAAGAGGTATCGTTGAAACCTATAAAAGGACAAATAATTGCAGAGAAAACTCCTTCACCAAAGGTAGATAAACCTAGTCCTCAAGTCACTCCACTGACTAAAAAGATTCTAAAAGAGGATGATAAACCAGAAATGGCAAAAAAAATTGGTCTTTCACCAAAGGAAATTCAGAGAGAAGAGGAAATATCACTGAAGCCTATAGAACCTGCAGAGCTAAAAAAGACTCCTTCACCAAAAGTAGAGACACAAAAACCTAAACCCACTGAATCCGTTCCAATGGAAAGAAAGTCTAGTGCAAAATCACCCAAGAAGATTTCACCAAAAGGTTCACTTGAGTCTGTAATTCTGAAGAAGGTCTCAAAGACAGTCTCCCCCAAAGAAGAAAAGACTACTCAGGAACCTCCTTTAAAAACTACTGAAGACAAACTGCCAATGGTAAAGGAGTTGTCTCCTAGTCTTCTGCATCTACAAAAGATTCCTACACAGCAAGAGGAGATAGTATATGAGCATGAGCAGGAGGTGGTGGATGGTGAAGAAGAAGAAACTTGGGGATGGGAACTTGCTCCTAGGGACAGTTATGGATCCGAAACCTTTGATGACGCCTTGGAGGATGGAGCTGTTGAAACCCCAGGAATGGGTGACAAGAAAGGTGAGATGGTGGCACAAAAGCTCACCACTGGTATCTCGTGGCTCCCTACAATCATTCCAAATAATATCAACTCAACTCATCCATTATTACCCTTTAACAAGTGTCTTCATTTTTTGATTATTTAGTTGTCTTTGATGTTGTGTGTCCTTCCTTTGATTTATTCGTTCTTTCATTCTTGGTTCATCAAACCCTCTTTATAAAATGTTGTGTGTCAGTGAAGTCCTGCTCTGTCATGTAACTGTTTGTCAGTCTCATTTTCATTCCTTCATCTTCATTTGTCATTTTCGTTGTGGGTGTCATTTGTACTGGGCTGTGTTTTTCAAACTTGTTTTCTTGTCTTTTATTGTCATTAATATGCTCACATATGTTATATCCTTTGTATATAATTTATAAACCAATCATTTAAGACCCTTTGCAGTTTTACCATTTCAAGCCTTTCTTAATTGTATAACAATATTTCAAACAGATGGAAAACCAAAGGAGGAACCAGCTCCAGGCAGAGGCAGAGGACTAAGACGTACGTTCATAATATACAGTACATTCGTAGTATGCATTTATAATGTTACAGTGCATGTGTTAATTTTAAAGTTATATAAGAATAATTTAAAATGGTGAAACTTTTTCTTTTTTATTGTAGCAAGACAAACTCCATCTCCTGGTGATGCTGGAAGGGGTAGAGGGCTGAAACCTGGTGGTGGAGGTGACAAGCCTCCAGGAGAATCACCATTTGGTTTCCAACTCAAAGCCGTCCCCTTGAAGTTTGTGAAGGAGCTCCAGGACATTGTGTTGCAGGAGGCTGAGTCCATTGGCTCCTCTGCTGTATTTGAGTGCCAAATCTCTCCATCTACTGCTATCACCACCTGGATGAAAGATGGAAGCAATATAAGGGAGAGTCCAAAGCACAAATTCACATCTGATGGCAAAGACCGCAAACTGCAAATCATTGATGTACAGCTTTCAGACACTGGGGAGTACACATGTGTTGCAAAGCTTGGCAACAAGGAGAAGACCTCAACAGCTAAACTTGTTGTAGAAGGTATTTGTGACTGCTATTCTCAAAGTGTCCTTTCTAGTCACATAAAAATTTCATATGGCATTGCCTCTTGCCTCTAAAGACCATTAATGTTAATATTTTGGTACTAATAATGTATGATTGTTAAAGTTGCATTTCTTCTATCATTTCATATAGAATTACCTGTGAAATTCACAAAGAATCTGGAAGAAGAGACCTCCGTGTTCAAGGGGCAGCCAATGTATTTGACCTGTGAGTTGAACAAGGACAGAGATGTGGTCTGGAAGAAGAATGGACAAGAGATAAAGGAAATTCCTGGCAAAATTCAAATCAATGTTATTGGGCTACAGCGTACCATCACAATCCAGGACGCGAACGATGATGATGCTGGTGTTTACACATGCGAGTGGGAAAACATCAAAACTCAAACTAATGTCAAGGTTATTGGTATGTATTTGATTTTTTAACCTTTTAATATCTTCTTAAAAACTTTGATAGATGTTTCTATATCTTCTTTAATGAATTTAGAGCCGGTGTGTGAATTTACCCATGTATGCATTCAACAGAAATCATTAGAGACTGGTTAGTGAAACCTTTGCGGGACCAGCATGTGAAGCCCAAGGCCACTGCTACATTCAAAGGCGAGCTCTTCAAGGACACCCCTAACTGGAAGTGGTACAAGGGTAACGATGAAATCCCTAATGAGCCTACAGATAAGACTGAGGTGAAGAAGGAGGGTAAAGATATCACTCTTACAATTAAAAATGCCCAGCCTGATGACGTTGCTGAGTACACTGTGGAGGTTGAAGGCCGCAGATATGCAGCAAAACTAACACTTGGAGGTTTGTTTAAAAACAGCACCACCACTTGAGGACTGTTGATTTCTGCTTATATTACCATCTGAAAACGTTGTGTATAAACATTTCTCTATAATCTCTATTCAGAACGTGAAGCGGAGATCTTGAAGCCTCTTGCTAGTGTGGAGGTGGTTGAGAAAACGGAGGCCAACTTTGATACTGAAATTTCAGAAGATGATGTGCCTGGAGAATGGAAACTTAGAGGGCAGGTTCTGACAAGATCACCGGTAAGACCCTATTCAAAACCCCCAGGTGTCCTAAAACAGTGGTTCTCAAACCTTTCCATGCAGTACCCCCAGCACTGCACATTTTGTATGTCTCCCTATATCTGACACACCACTTCAGGTCTTGCAGTCTCCACTAAAGAGCTGATGAGTTGAATCAGGTGTGATAGATGAGGGAGACATACAAAATGTGCAGGGCTGGTGGTACTCCAGGACAGGTTTGAGAACCACTGTCCTAAAATATTAGTCATTCCCAGTGTTGGGGAAGCTACTTTGAAACTGTGGCTTCCCAGGCTATAAGGTAGTCATAATTTAAGTAGTTAAATAACCACTCTACCCATTTGGAGATGTAATTAAAAAACAGCTAACCGTGTAAAGCTGTTTAAGAGGGTGACATCTATACATCTAAAATTATTTAAGTCCGTTTTATAATAAAAACATTCTTTATTTGTCACACACACACACACACACACACACACACACACACAAATTGCAATGATTAGTAGCAGTACTAATTGTAGTTAGTCTTTCCCCAACAGTATTAATACAGTTATGTAATTTTTTTATAGCACATTGTTCAAAAAAATTGCTGATTCATAATTTTCTTCTATTTTAGACATGTGACATCAGATCTGAGGGAACAAAACGATTCCTTACTATCAAAAACGTTCAGCTTGATCAGTCTGGAGAAGTTACATACCAAGCTCTGAATGCTGTGACAAGTGCTATGCTTACAGTAAAAGGTAAGAGAATGTTTTTTTTAAAGCATAAGAAAATGAAAATTCAAATCTACAAATGCAGATGAGTGACGATATGGACAATGTTCATTCATACCTACCAGAGTTGGAAATGGAGTTCACAGTACCTTTGAAAGACGTTACTGTGCATGAAAAGAAACAGGCAAAGTTTGAGTGCTCCGTCAATAAGGATGTGCCTAAAGTGATTTGGTTTAAGGGTTCTGATATTGTTACACAAGGAAATAAGTATGAAATCATTGATGACGGAAAGAAACACATACTCATTATAAATAACTGTGGCTTTGAGGATGAGGGTGAATACAGTATTGAGGTCTTGGGCAAATCATCAAAAGCAAAACTGATGGTAGAGGGTAAGTCTTGGTTATCATCTTGGTTAGTGACGTGTTGGTCAAAATACTTTCTGACAAAATTTAACAAGGGTGTTTATTAATGAGTAGTCTAACAAATAGCAAATAGTAAAAAAAACACAGTTGCTAATAAATTCACTTTTTCTAATAAATTCACTAATAATTCACTGGTTTTCAAGTTTGTAGTATATTAATTTATTGCGTCCATAGTCAATTTGTTATGCACTGAACAAATGTCGTAGGTATGAGGCTGAACTTCACCTCAACATTAAAGGACCTAACTGTGAAGGAAGGTAAAACAGCTGTATTTGAGCTTGAACTCTCTCATGAGAATGTTGCCGTGACGTGGTACAAAAATGAAATAAAAGTGCACCCAAGCAGAACCGTGTTCACCAGCGTGGTGGGAAAGAAACATACACTAGAAATTAAGGAAGTATCACTAGATGATACTTGCCTGATAAAAGCAGAGGCTAAAGGAATATCTACAATGGCTAAGCTGCTGGTAATAGGTAATTTTACCTTTATTTCACCATTAAATTTATTTGATCAGCTGCACTAATTCTTGTTTCCCCCCCTCATTGTATCATTGTGTTTGCAGTGCAACAAAACCTTTTATGTAGATTTCTACACATATTTTATTTTCTGAATATTATTAACACAGCAACCTGTTTTTACAGAGGGTGATGCATTTTTCACCTCCAAGTTACAAGATTACACCGCAGTTGAGAAAGATGAAGTCACATTTGACTGCGAGCTCAGTAGAGATGCTCCTGTGAAATGGTTCAAGAATGAAATTGAAATTAAAGCCTCCAAGATGATTACTATGAAAGTTGAAGGCAAACGGAGAATCCTCAATCTTAAGAAAGTTGAGAACAAAGATAAAGGATTATATGTTTGCGACTGTGGAACAGACAAGACTTCGGCCAACTTGAACATTGAAGGTCAGTAATTAAGGTTATATTCCTAAAATGTAAAAACATTGCAATATTTCAGGGGTACACGTGGGTTTTATTTGATAATTTTGTTCTAAATAGAATCTATTTAATTCCAGCTCGTGACATCAAAGTGGTGCGACCATTGTATGGTGTTGAGCTCTTTGATGGTGAGACAGCTCGTTTTGAGGTGGAAATCTCTGAAGATGATGTCCATGGCCAGTGGAAACTGAAGGGCGAAGTCTTATCCTCGTCACCTGTGAGTACAGTTGCATCAATAAATTCAATAAACATCTTTCACAAACATCTAGCAACATACTTAATATTTTTTCTCATGTGCTTTTTGTAAACAGGATGTTGAGATTATTGAGGATGGTGCAAAACACACATTAACACTCTACAACTGCAAAGTTTCCCAATCTGGAGAGGTGGTCTTCCAGGGAGCGAATGCTAAGTGTTCTGCAAATCTTAAAGTGAAAGGTAGTTCAAAAAATAAAAAATAAATAAAAAGTATATATA